GTTCTTAATACTGTGTGTGGTTTTTTTTTTTTTTTTGTTTAGAGATGGTTGTTCATGAGTCCCTTGTTTGTTCTGAACAGTTAAATTGAGCACTGTTCTTCAGAAAAATCCTCTATATATATATATATACAGTATATATATAGATGATAGTTAATTCATGTTTGTTACAATTAAATCATTAAAAATTATTTATTATTCCAGGTGAATATTAATTTATAAATAAAACATAGTTCAGTCGTCTTTGTTCAAAACAAGTTAACTGATGTTAATTTATACAACTTTTTTCTTTAATATATTAAAATAATATTATGTAGAAAATACTATTAATCTAAATTCATATGCTGTAAAAATATTCTTAATTGTTGTTTCTCAATGTTATCATTCAACCTTTTGCATTAATATTAACATAAAACCTTGCTGGAAAGTGTTAAAATATCTATTGATAATTTATACAGCTTGAAATATAATGGATTAAAAACTATTATGTATGCGGGTAGAATTAAAAACTAGCATTTACTAATATCTGTCTATCACAAAATGGAAGTGGAGTTATATAAACTATAACAGCAACAAAACCTTTTTCTTATTCATCTGCCTGTAGGTGTCTTTAGAATGGCCGACAGATCTGGCTGTTAGTCCGATGGATAACTCATTGTTTGTGCTGGATGGCAGTGTGGTTTTGCGGATCACTGAGGAGGGGCAGGTCAGCGTGGCAGCGGGCAGACCCCTTCACTGCCCCATGCCTTCTACAGACATCCTGGTGACAGAAACACAGCGAGCCACGCATACCCATCTGGAATCCCCAAGCGCCATCGCCGTCTCCTTCAATGGAGAGCTGCACATCGCAGAGACAGACGAGAGGAAGATGAGCCGCATACGCAGCGTGGCAGCAGATGGCGAGATCACTCACCTGGCGGGGGCGCCTTCAGACTGTGACTGCAAGACCGACGTCAACTGTGATTGTTACCTAACAGGAGACGGCTTCGCTAAAGACGCCCGGCTGAACGGGCCGTCCTCTCTCGTGGCAGCTCCGGATGGAACCCTGTATGTAGCTGACCTGGGAAACATTCGCATTCGAGTGATTGGAAAAAACAAGCCTGCACTTAACAGCATGGCCTTGTATGAAGTGGCATCATCCGCGGAGCAGGAAGTGTACATGTTTGACAGTAATGGCACGCACCAGCACACGGCCAACCTGATCACTGGAGACTTCAAATATAACTTCAGCTATAGCAATGAGGGAGATCTGACCTCGGTGGCCGACAGTCATGGAAACACGCTACGGATTCGCCGGGACGCCAGCCGCCTTCCTGTCCGCATCGTTGCACCTGACAACCAGGTTATTTGGCTAACTGTAGGCTCGAGTGGTGGGCTGAAGACCCTTGGCACACAGGGGCGTGAACAGGTGCTGCTAACTTACCATGGCAACAGTGGTCTCCTGGCAACCAAGAGCACTGCCAACGGATGGACAACATTCTATGAGTAAGAGTGTTTGAGTGTTTCTGCTTGCTACTCTTTGCTTGCCAGGGCAAACATCGCTATTATTTAGGCTCAAATTTAGGGTCAGCGATCTGAACAAGAATTAAATCAGCTCAAATTCACCCAACGCAATTTGGGCTACAGACAGAGCTGGGTAGATTACTTACAAATTGTTACTGATTCCAAATTACATGACAAAAATTGTGATTAGTAACGTAATCCATTACATTACACAATTTAAGTAATATAATCTGACTACTTTTTTGATTACTTTTAGATTACTTTTAAACTAACTAGTTTATCACATTGATTTAAATAGGATAATCTGGTACCATATCAATGTAAAAACACAAATAGTAAGAAAATATATTCCATTTGCTGTAATTAACAACATGAAGTGCATTAAACATTACATTACGTCATTAATTACAAGCTAATAATTAATTAAATCATAAAAGTGTAACATTAAAATTATTAAATCTCAGTGGTACTACATGTAAATATATTTGGTGAAAGATTTTCAGATGACAAAAAAAGTCTGGGAATTCCTGCATTACATGTAAATAAGAAATAATGTGAATTTGTGCATTTTAATGTGTTTGAAAGACAAAAGTCTTCCGAACACATAATAAATTATGGTTAAATAACCTACTGAGTGATAATTCGAATAAACATATATGTTCATCAGTAGTTGATACAGTGTTGAAACACTTCTTAAACCTGAAATTATTTTTGTAAATCCAGTGGTCAAATGCTATATAGCCACCTGATTAATGACTGGCCTTTGTGTGAGTTCACAAAACATTTAAAAGATGAAAAAGAGGAATTAGGGAGTTATAAATATAAATAATAATATAATAAATTATGACTCATTTATTGTTATTGTGTGAATAACATGTAATCAGTAAAAAGTAACTGTAGTCTGATTCTGAGTATTTTAAAATGTAATTTAATCTAATTACAAGTACTTCATTTTTGGAATCTGATTATGTAATCCAGATTACATGTTATCAGTTACTGCCCAGCTCTGGCTACAGACATGAATGATATCTAAAATCATGCTGGTTATTATGGAAAGGTGTACTGTTACTTTTCTAAGTACTCTAAGGATAATAAATTGGCAAAAATCCAAGACATCTGGAAGAGGACCTGAACCATTTCTAGGGAACAACATACCAACACAGAAGTAATCTAGACTTTAAGACAGACAGACCAGTAGAAAAATGCATATTCATATGGTTTTTGGCTTTTTAACATCTCTTTCAGCTATGACACAGAGGGACGACTGACCAATGTAACTTTTCCTACTGGAGTGGTGACCAGTCTGGCCTATGACATGGATACTGTCTCTACAGTAGAAAGAGAAAGTTTTGAACGAGATGAAGCTGCAACCATAACTACAAACCTGTCAGCAATTCAAAATGTCCTCAAGTTACACCAAGGTAAATCTTGTGTTCTCATGTTATTCTTTTTTTTTTTCCTAGCCTTTCTGCTTGTGTCATTTATGTTGTCTTTTTTTATTTTGCAGATCAGCTGAAGAACAACTATGTGATTGGTTATGACCATTCCTTGTGGATTCTGTATGCCAATGGAATGAACACTCACTACCAGACCGAGCCAAACATTCTGGCTGGCGCGTCTTCCCCTACGCTGGCACGAAGAAACATGACCCTGCCCGATGACAGCGGGCAAAACTTGGTGGAATGGCGCTTTCGCAAAGAGCAGACGAGGACGAAGGTCACAGTGTTTGGACGCAAGTTACGAGTACGTAATAAAGTCCAATTATAGAGAACAAAGAAATGGTTTAAAAAGCCTGAGATTTAAACTATTTCTTATTGAAAGAAACCACAGGACAATTTGATTGTAACACAAAGCACTTGACATCTGGCTTGAGGTTCAAATGACCTCAGGCAATTTAAAAATCACACAAGATTTCTTGCTATACTTTTGTGTAGATGTGAATTCTTGCTAATTAAATTTGGCATGAAAATGGCACCTGACATAATACGCAATTTAAAAATCTTGCAAGCTTTCTTGCTATATTTTTTATTTAGATATAAATTCTTACAAATTAAATCAATTCAGTAAATTTGGCATGAATATGGCACCCCGGCTAATCTAGGAGTACAAAAAATGACAGTTTTACAGTGGTTAAACAAATTTAATCTAAAATTGATGTTGTCTACACTGGAAGATGATTTAATAGCTTGAACGTGCCACTGAGCCACTTAGTTTTATAAAGTTAAGGTAATAATCATGAGACTCATTTTCACACAAAGATCCAAGTCAAACTTTCTGACGGAAACCAAGGCAACTCTGACAGATGAAAAAATCAGCCAATTTTCTAGTCAATTTTCTGCCATTTTACTGTTGCCTTACCAATTTTGTGTCTCTCCTTCGCCTGCACTTCAAGGTAAATGGACGGAACATATTGTCTGTTGATTATGACCGAGCACTGAGGATTGAAAAGATCTATGATGATCACCGTAAATTCCTTCTGAAGATTGGTTATGACACAGCAGGTCAGCCTACTCTCTGGATGCCAAGTAGCAAGCTGCTGCCTGTCAACCTCACCCGCAATAGCAATGGGCAGTTGAGTGCCATACACTGGGGCTCTGTCTCAGAGAGGGCCGAGTATGATGGACAAGGCCGTCTGCTTTCCAGAACATTTCCTGATGGAAAGACCTGGAGCTACACTTATCTGGAGAAGGTACAGGCCAGTGGAAATTGCTTTTAGTGATGTATGCGATATGCAGTAGACATCAAGAGTTTAGTCAGTAGACTCTGCCACATATAAACCGTTTACCACCAATGTAAAGCTTTTTTGACTTAACTCGATCACTTTTGCTCAATGCATACTTTAAAATACACACCCTACACATGATGTTTTTTCTTTAGGGCTGTCACGATTCGTCGATTTTATTAGACTATTCGATTTTTTAAAATCCTCGACTTCATTTTGCTCGCGTCGACTAACCGGCAAAATACCGGAAGTGGCGCATTTCACGGACAAGA